TACTATATTCCCTTTTGCTTTAGCTTTTTCTAAAACATACTAGACACAATGCAATATATATATATATGCCTTACAGTTGAATTGTACACCTGAAACTTACTGGATTTTGTTAGCCAATGTCACCATAATAAAAATAAATTTAAAAAAATAAATAAAACTACTAGAACAAAAAGTTTTAAAAGAAAGGTTTAACTCTCATTCATTTCTAGTAGAAACAAATGGTACAGCCACTTTGTAAGAGTCTGGCAGTGTCTTACAAAATTAAATATACTTTTACCATATAATTCAGCAATTGCAGTCCTTCATGTTTACCTAAATGAGTTGAAAACTTATGTCCACAACAAAACCTGCACATGAATATTTATGGTAGCTTTATTCATAATAGCCAAAATACGGAGGTAACCAAGAGATCCTTCAATAGATGAATGGACAAACAAACTGTGGTATATCTGTATAATGGAATATTACTCAGCAATAAAAAGAAATCAGCTATCATTCCACAAAAAGACAAAGGAAACTCAAATGCATACTGCTAAGCAAAAAAAAAAAAAAAAGCCAATCTGAAAAGCTATAATACTGCATGATTCAACTACAGGACATTCTGGAAAAGGTAAAACTATGTATACAGTAAAAGGATCAGTGGTTGCCAGAAAGAGGGAATAGGTAAAATACACAGGATGTTTAGGACAGTAAAACTAGTCTGTGTAATTGTAATGGTAGAGACACGTCATTATACATTTGTCAAAATTTTCTGCTCAATTTTTCTGTAAACGTAAAACTGCTCTAAAAAAAGTATATTGATTTTCTAAAAGATTGGTAAGAATGCAATAGGTGTTATCAGACATAGCTGTCAGATATATAAATTGGTATTGCTGCCTTTCCAGTAGGCAATCTGGAAATATATATCTACAACCTTTAAATGGATCATACCCTTAGACCTAGTAGTTCCACAAGCATTTGTATTAAGGAAATCTCAGATATGATGAAAGTTTCATTTATAAAGATGTTCATATCAATTACTTACATAAAGAAAAACTGAAGCAAAGTAAGTATATAACAATATAGTAATATTTTTAAAACTCAACTATATGAAAATATCAGACAGTAAAAATATTTTAAAATATTAAATAATACATGACATGGAAAAATAGTCATGACAGAAGTTACAGAAAGAATGCAGGCTACAAAACAGTAAGTATAATACACTTCTAAATTTGTTGTTCTAAAAGTGGTTGTTAGTTTAGGAATACAAAGCTTAAGGCACAACTTGGCAAAAGTGATTAGTAATAAGAGAAGTCAGGAAGGATGGTGGGGGAAGCTGGGAAGGGCATGAAGAAACAGTGAGTGTGGGAAATTGTCTCAGTCCAGATGACAGTTACAGGACTGTTTATGTAAGAGGTCACTGAGCTACAGACGTCAGAATAGCACATTTAAGAACTATAAAATTAAATAAGAAAGTAAAAGCAACCTGGGAGAGGGAAGTGACTAGAAAGGAAATGAAATGAGGAAGGCTTCTGGGATGCTAGTACTAGCTTGTTTTTTGATCCAGGTGCCACTGAAATGGGTATGCTCAGTTTGTGAAAACTCATTAAATTGTATCTTTAAGTTTTGGGCCTTTTAAAAAAGTTCCCCTAAAGGCATCGCTCTTGCCTTTGAGAAACTCAGTACAGTAATGCATATAAAAATACTGTAGTTAGAATACACTGGGATGCATGCTAAACAAGAAGTGAAATTTAAGACACACGGTGAGGTCAAAGCTGGGATCGGTAGCAGCAGCACTTGATAACGACTGTGCACATGTGTAGATACATATACTATGACAGGAATACAAAATTCCAATTTATTAATTTTTCAAAGATACCTGAGATATTTTGAGGGGTGATAGTTTAGCTGAGGTACTCAAAAAATAAGGCAATATGGCCATTGTTACCACTTGTAACCACATCTTAAATGACTGAATTTACAAAAATATTTGTAATCCAACTTTTCAGAATTTATATTACTTTCCTTTTACATTATATTTAAATTGATCAACACTACAAAAAGGGGCAGGGAAATCACTAAATCAGTCACACTTCACATTCCTGGACTAGCATATTTTGAATGTGCCTTGCTACAAATATTTTTATCCTAGTCCAGTGATTCCACAACTTGTCTGCCCATCGCCTGGAGACTCTTGTGAACATTCCAAGGCCCAGATCACATCCAAGACCAATTAAATCATAAACTCTGGAGATGGGACACAAGCATTATGTTTGAAGCTCCCCCAAATGATTCCAAACTGCAGACAAGCTGTCATTAGAATTAATACTTTATAAAAATTAAACTGAAGAGACAGATGCTAGCTTGTTGAGGGATGTTTTCTAAATAGGATTTTCATACAGATTTTTGAAATCTGAACTATGCTTACCCTGCAGCATTTTTACAATTTTCATCTTAACTCAGTTTTATCTTTTTGGAAGTTTTTTTGTTCTTTTTTTTGAAGTGTCAAAAAATGTATGCATTATTTTCTTTAGATCAGAATAAATGAATTCTTGAGGCTAGGATCAAATGCCAGGTCAGGGTTAAAGACAGTGCTTCTAGATTGGCAAGTTTTATGTAATAATTTAAGTACTACCTGCAACATAGAGAGTAAACTGCGAGAAACACAGGACAAGGTTCAAGTCCCAGTTTTGAGAGACAGAATTTTATTTCAAAGAAAGTTAACAAATATCTAATAAAAATGCAGATGGAAAGCACTGAGCATGGCAGTCATAGGTCGCAAAAATCTCTGGACTAATTACCATAAAACAGAAAACAAACCTAAGTACAACTAAGTTCCTTGCCAGATTTTACATAATCATATTGTTTCTATTTGTTCTGATTCATACTCAGCTGTTATTTAAAATCTGATATTAACTTTTATATCTCAAAAATGTATTTGAGTATTCAGAGTCCCCAATTCTGAATTTATACTCTTCTCTTTCCTTCTTTTTGACTCCAAAACTGCCATCTGGTAGAGGGGAAGAGGGCATGCACATTCCAGCTACTGCTAGTTTACTAATTCACTTTATCAGGCTCATTCTTTCAAGTTGAGATCAAACTGGCTGCTTGAGGCAATTGTTCTCACACTGTAGCTCCTAAACCAGCATCATCAGCATCCCCTGGGAACTTGTTAGAAATGCAAATTATTGCTACTGAATCAGAAACTGTGGGGTGAGGCCCAGAAATCTGTTTAACAAACCTTCCAGGTGATTCTGATACATGCTAAAATTAAAAATAACTCTTAGAAGGATGAGAACCCTATCATAGGAGATTTTTACAATTACCCAACGAAACACACACGGGCTCAAAAAATTAAACAACTTTTCATGAAACTGTTTAAGAAAATGATATAATGAAGACAGTGCTTAATAAAGCTTACTGCAGAAGTAGGCAAGGTATAATAGAGCAGAAAATCAAGTACAAGGCCAACTAATTCAGGCATGAACTGATGAAGAGCAGCAGCTGTGGAAACAGAAAAAATGATTTGATTAAGAGCTATTATGAAGTAAAAATGCAATGGAAAAAGAATTATGCCAAAAACATCTCCCAGATTTCAAGCCAAGACAGCTTGGAGAATATAGGTACTGAAAAGGTTGGGGAAGAAACGGCTGGTTTACAGGATGAAATATGAAATTTCATTTTAAATTTCTTGAGGTTGTACTGACATAAGTAGAAATATTCAACATCAAGTGTAGAGAAGAGACTGGAGCTTGAAAGAAAGTTAGAATTAAGAGACATATTAAGAAGTCACATGCACAATTACTGAGACAGCCCTCTATTAGGAATAAGTGAGAAATAATCTATAGCTGAAACAAGTGGCCTGAAGTCGGCCCGGGTCTACAAATGCGTTTTGTTTGGTCCGCAGGACTCAACTAATCAGTTTGCACCTTGAAATGTAGGGTGGAATAAAACCAACTGCAACTCTGGGAATGACAGATTCTTTTCCAGGTCAGTTAATTTTGTTAATAAATATCTTCCCCATTTGTTTCTTATTATTTAAGATTTGCTCACAATTTCAAAAAAAAGAGCAGCAATGATTACATGTACTGATTTTCTTAGTATTTACCAAGTCTCTGTGGGAGCTAGTTAGAGGCACAGGGACAACTAATTTCAAGTTTTTTTTTTTTTTTTAAAAAGGAAATTTTGAGAATCAGGCCTGTGGATACATTAAACAATTAGACACCTTCCCCTAAAACAATAACTATTTTCAATTCAAAGAGACACTCCTATCCCTTCCCCACCAGGCAAACTCAAAGGCTGAAGAACCCAGGGATTTAAGTTGCCCAAGAAATGGGATGGTTCTCCCTTCAAGTGGTCACAGCTGCTACCTGGTAATGTATAGGTGCAGGCGGCAGACTTCAAGACTGATGATGCTGCCTAACTTCCTAACGTGATGGCGCCCAGATCTCCTGAGCTGAGCTCAAGTTGCACTGAGTAGCACTTTCAATATTTGCATACATATTCCACCAAGCCCCGTTATGTGTCCGCAACACTAGCCTAGAATTTTCAGAGACCTGTATTAATGCTGGAACCACATGACAGAGCTGAAAAATAAAAATCACGCCACATGCACAGGTGCAACCACTGGCAAAGCACAGTACGAGCGTTAGTGAATAAAACATGCCACAAAATTCTTCCAAGTTGAAACCTTGCGTGTCCTCCAGACAATACTCAACTGTTTAAAAAGGAAAGAAACTGGGGTCTAAAGAAAAGCAAGTCATGCGGGGTCAAGGCTGATTAAGGCCTACAGTGGCAGAAAATGACGGTGATGCTTCAAAGAAGGTGTTAGGAGTAAGATGAGACACATAGGAGGGCCTGCGGTGCTACGGCCCCGCTGGGGCTCGCACCTGAGGGCTCCGCCTCCAAGGGCGACTCGAAACTTCCAGGCCAGGCTGTTTCCACTCTCGACCTTGTCTCACCTCGGCGAGCACAGCTAAAGAGCCTACCCTAGGCCGCTCCCTCGTTCACTCACTCACCTCGACATCATGCCGCGCATAACAAGGAGCCTCACTGACCGAAATACTATAAGCCAACGTAGCCAGGGCGCCGCCGGCCACAGAGAGCAAGTCCTCCAGAGAGCCAGAGCGGCCCATGGCGTTATATTACGCCACGCGGCGCTGAGGGGCGGGGCGACAGCTGCTTGAGAGTAAGGGTTGAGGGCGGGAGAAGGGGGCTGAGACGGGGCGGGACCTAGACGAGGGGCGGGACGAAGGAGGAGGGGCAGGAGGAGGGGCAGGGGTGAAGCTGCAGGCACAGAGCAGACACCGCTGATTGAAGGGAAAGATTTTTCTTTAGAGGCTCTGTTGGGGAAAGCCCAAGTGGTCTAAGCTTGGCCTGCTTATTTTGACTAGCAAGAATTGACATGAAAGACTTTGCTGATTGTCACAAGCAGGTCCCACCAGCAGGAGTTCACAGTTCTTTCCTCACAAATGATGTTTTAGAAATTTCCTAAGTTCACGCTTGCCTTCAATCCACTCTGGCATCTTCAGTTTGGAGTCAAGGTTAGAGTAGGCACTGCCCACCTTGCGAACACAGATCCAGTGTTGCCTTTTAAGAGGAAACTTTAGAGGACCCCAGCACAAGTTGGAGGATAGATTCATGATAAGCCCACAACATTAGTGAGACCAATGGCACTGACATCCCTGAGCTTGTCCCACCAAACAGCTTCATAGCCTTTGGTTTAAAGTGCTGCCATAATCATGTTCACATTGTAGTTCATATTTCCTAGCATGCTCTTGTGGCAGCAGGAGGCAATGGTGTTTGGAGACAATCTGCGCGAAATCTCTTGCAGCATTTCCCAGATGAGTACACTGCTGTCCTGGAAGATGCTAGTGACGGCATGCAGGGCATGAAGCTCCCTGCGCTGTTCCTCATGGTTGATTTGTGGGGGTGCTGCCTAGGACAGCTTCAATGATTCAGTTTTGGTCATGTCTCCTTTCCAGGGCATGCAACTCATGTTTTTTGTTTTAGTTTCCAGAGAGGGCTAAAAACACCCCCCTCTTTCCTCCAGAGGAAAAATGTAAGCTTCTCGGTTGTTTCAGGATTCCTGAAGTCCACCTGATTTCCTGGTATCCATCATTTATGCTTTGTCATGGGGAGAAAAGGTTAAAATCAAAAGGAAAAACAATCCATCTCTTCTCTCTTCTCAACAAAAAATAACTTTTGAACTAATGTATTTCACATTATGTGTTACACATAAAATGTAAGACCTTGTTCCTATCTCCCACTCTCCCTCTATTGCCCTCCTCCAAAAAAACACTATTTTCTTGCTGTTTTTTTCTCTCTACAAAAGCCAACCAGGCCTCAATGCAGGAGAACCAAACAGAATCATCACATCGCTCTTTTCTTCCTTTTCTTCCAAAACACAGCACCACTGACTCAGGAAACAAGGCCTAGGTCAGGAGTCCCCAACCCCCAGCCTGCTGACTGGTACCGTGGCCTGTTATGAGCTGGGCCACACAGCAGGAGGTGAGTGGCAGGCAAGCAAGCAAAGCTTCATCTGTATTTGCAGCTACTTCCCAGTGCTAACATCAACACCTCAGCTCCACCTCAGATTATCAGGCATTAGATTCTCATTGAGGAGCACTGGTCCCTGGTGGCAAAAATGTTGGGGACCACTGGCCTGGGTGGTGAATAAACTGCAAAATTCAAGCAGATAGCAAGGGTTGGCCAGCTTGTGATCCTAGGCTATTGCTGAGGCAACAGAGGTAGAAAATGGCCATCCCCTCGGGTACAGTGGGGCCTCGTGAAAGGGGCAGTCCTCCCTCTGAAAGCACAGACTCTCACCTTGTTGCTATACCAGCCATAGGCTGTCATCTAGAGCTACAGGCCACTGCCTGAGTCCCGCTTTAGAGAGGCGAGCAAGCACTTGTAGAATTTTAACCTTTCTAAATAAAAACGTAAATTTAGTATTCTTTTCTTTGAGGATTCAAACATGAAATATACTTTATAAAAGGAGGACATTGGTGTAGTTTATTTCTAATCCAATGTAGCAGAACTTCTTTCACATTAGGATCGAGATATTTTTAGTTTGGGGGAAAAGTTATAGATCCCCCTCTTTCTCAATGACAGACAAGAATTGTTTCATTAAAAGGTGATATAGTATATGTCTTCACCAATTAAAACTAAAAGTTACTGTTATTGGTAATAGTATAATTATTCAGAAAGTAGTTTTTTGGCAATTTAATATTTTTTATTTTCAATTACAGTTGATATACAATATTATATTAGTTTCAGGTGTACAACAGAGTGATTAAACATTTATGTAACTTATGAATTATCACCCAAATAAATCCAGTAACCATCTGACACCATATATAATTACAATACTACTGACTATATTCCCCATGCTATACTCTACATCCCCATGACTATTTTGTAACTGCCAATTTGTACCTCTTAATCCCCTCCCCACTTCACCTATCTCCCAACTCCACCCCCAACCCAATTTGGCAACCATCAGAATGCTCTCTGTATCAATGACTTGTTTCTGCTTTGTTTGTTCATTCATCCTGTTCTCCAGATTCCACATATAAGTGAAATTATGTGACATTTGTCTTTCTCTGTCTGACTCACTCCAGTCAGCACAATACTCTCTAGGTCTATCCATGTTGTTACAGATGGCAAAATTTCATCTTTTTTTTTTTTTTGAGTAATATTCCACTGTATATATGTAACATCTTTTCTTTATCCATTTATCCATTAATAGACACCCAGGTTGCTTCCACAGCTTGGCTATTGTAAATATTGCAGCATTCTACAATGAATATATGGATTCATATGTTCCTTCAAAGTAGTATTTTGGGTTTCTTCAAGATAAATACCCAGAAGTGGGATTACTGGGTCCTTCCTTATCTCTTGTTAGCCTTTGTTTTAAAGTCTATTTTGTCTGGTATAAGTATTGCTACACCAGCTTTTTTTTCTTTTTGATTTTCATGAAATATCTTTCTCCATCCCTTTATTTTCAGTCTGTGTGTGTCTTTCAATCTGAAGTGAGTCTCTTGTAGGCAGCATATGTAAGGGTTTTGTTTTCTTATCCATTCAGCTACCCTATGTCATTTAATCTGTTTATATTTAAAATAATTGTTGATAGATATGTAGTTATTACCATTTTATTATTCATATTTATTATCTTTCCTTCTTCTTCTTAAAGAACTCTAACATTTCTTTTCACACTGGTTTGGTGGTGATGAACTCCTTTAGCTTTTTCTTATCTGGGAAGCTCTTTATCTGTCCTTTGATTCTAAACAATAGCTTTGTTGGGTAATCTTGGTTGTCCGTCTTTGCTTTTCATCACTTTGAATATTTCATGCCAATCCCTTCTGGCCTGTAAGTTTCTGTTGAAAAATCAGCTGACAGTCTTATGGAAACTCTCTTGTAGATAACTGCTTTTCTCCTGCCGCCTTTAAGATTCTTTATCTTTAACCTTTGGTATTTAATTATGATGTGCCTTGATATGGGCCTCTTTGGGTTCATCTTGTTTGGGACACTCTGCTCTTCTTTGGGCTTGCAAGTCTATTTTTTTTGCCAGGTTGTGGAAGTTTTCCATTATTATTTCTTTAAATTGGTTTTCAATTCCTTGATCTCTCTTCTCCTTCTGGTACTCCTATTATGTGAATGTTGGTACACCCCATGTTGTCTCAGAGGCCCCTTAAACTTTCCTCATATTTTTGTATTCTTTTTTCTTTTTGCTATTCTGATTAGGTGTTTTCTGTGACCTTATATTCCAAATCACTGATTTGATCCTCTACTTCATCTAACTACTGTTGATATCTTCTAATGTAACTTTATTTCAGTTATTGTAGTTTTCATTCCTGACTGGTTCTTTTTCATGTTTGCTGTCTCCATTTTTGTTTCCTAGCTCTTTGTTGAAGTTCTCACTGAGATCATGGATACTTATAACCAGTATTTTGAACTCTGCCTCTGGTAGATTGCTTATCTCAATTTTGTTTAGTTCATTTTCTGGAGCTTTGTTCTGTTCTTTTATGTGGGACATGTTTCTTTGTTTCCGCATTTTAGCTGCCTGTTTGTATATGTTAGGTAGAGCTCCTAAGCCTCTCAGTCTTAGTAGAGTGGCCTTATATAGTAGGTGTCCTGTGGGGCCCAGTGGTGCAATCTCCCTTGTCACCTGAGCCAGGTGCTCCAGCTGTGTCCCTTGTATGGGTTGTGTATGCTCCTGTTGTAGTTGAGCCTTGGTTGCTGTTTGCACATCAGTGAGAGGGATTGTCCCTCAGACTGATTGGTTGTGAGAACTGGCTGTGATTACAGTGGAGGAGCTGTTGTGCTGGGACTGACACTATGGAGCAGGATTCACTTTAGCAGGGTTCATTGTCACTTGTGCTGGGCTTGGAGGTGCTGGAAGAGGTTAAGCTCTGAACTGAGGATGTCTGCCACTAGTGCCAGCTTAGGGATGCTTAGTAAGAGGTACGGGACACACTGGGGCCAGATGCTGCTTGTTTGGGGTTTGTGAACCTTTGAGAGATTTAAGGAAAGTCCACAGCATGAGCCAAGACAGGCCATTTGTATAGAAAAGCCACTGAAAGCAGCTTGAGTGAGCCTGCAAGTTGGGAGGGGCAGGGTCTCAGGGAATTACTAGGGCAAGACAAATGGTGTTAACTAGACTGATGAAGATTCATATATGATGCCTGCCTGTGTCTTCACATTGGGTGAGGGGAGGGTTCAACACAGGAACAATGGCTTCTGCCAGCATTTCTGTCTGGGAGAAAGCTGCCCCTATAGCCCTTGCCCCGAAGCCAGACAATTTAGTTCTTCTCCATATGTCCCTGGCACCTTTTGCACTACTGTCCCAGAGTTGGAACTCATAGTAGGTGAGTCCATCAGCGAGTAGGCCTGCGAGCAGCCCCTTTAAGAGGAAAGCCTGGGACTCCAGCAGCCCTCTGTCTCACTCAGCCATAATCTCCACTGGTTTTCACAGCTGTAAGTTGAGGGGACTTCTCTTCCTGGTGCTGAAACCTTGGGGAGCCTGGCATGGGGGGCTGCGACCCCTTGCTTCTCAGTAGGGACCTCTGCAGCCAAGATTTCCCTCCTGAGTTTTAATTGCCACATGTGAGTGTGGGACCAGCCTGTTTCACATCGCTGTCCCCCCTACTAGCCTTGATGTGACT